CACAAACGCCCATCCCGCGGCACCTGTTTCCTGTCACGTGGCTCCCAGGGAGCAGCTTAGATGTTAAAAGGAATCTTCGTCTAGTGACCCAGTGAGTCCATTACACAGGCTCTGCTTTACCTCATAAAATCAGACACGAGTTTTGAGGAGAAGTGTTCAGAACGATGAACAAAATGCATATTTGTGTAAATCCCCAGGACTGTCTCTCTCAATACCCTGGGCTCTTTAAAGAGTCAGGTCAAATCCCCCAGAAATCAAGTGAGTCCGGTTATGTTTTCTTTTACTTCCCCGGGCTCCCTGCTGCGTCCCTTGCTTGCTGGCGGCATGCTAAGACTGTCCTTTGTAAAAAGCAGCCTGCTCAGCTATAATTACTAATTTGATGTCACAGTGGAATCGCCGCGCAGCTGTGGAAAGATCGACCACCAGGGAGATTCGCGTTTCTCTCTCATTTAGAGGCGGCTAAACTGCTAGAGCCATGAATGGAAGATGCCTTTCCATTAAAAAGGAAAGAATTAAAGAATAAAACAAGTCATAGCAGCTGTCAGAATTTGACAACGGTTTAAAAATGGAAAAAAAAAAGCACTGTTCTGCTTTTTTAAAAAAAAATTCAAGACATCTGTACATGCGTGTTCTGATACTTGTTGCCATGAAAGTGATGCCACTATTTTTGCGACATAACTTCTTTATTATGCTAATGCAAATCACACTAATTACGTGTCAAGCTGAAATCGAAGGGGATGGGACTCGTGTGCACCTATATAAGCACTAAATATTTGAAATGACGGTTTCAAAACTTGTCATGAACAAGTTGAAAGTATGGGAAATTAAAACAGTTGTAATGACTCAGATGAAAGGAAGACTCACAATTGAGATGACTAATTAAGCCATGTCAGTGGAGATTCTTTATGAAAATTATCCTTTGCACCATGACAATCATTTCTTAGAGAACACAGTTGCACAGGGATAGCAATGAAAGATTCTTGGCAGATCGTGGGATTTCATTCATAAAAGGTGAAAACGTAGAAAATAAGTATTTTTAGCCTTAAGAGTGATTGTTTTGATAACATTTATGGTTTTATTTGTGAAGACAAAGAATAGCATGCTTTCTTGGAAGAGGAAAAATGTTAACTGCTCATGGAAAGAAAACCTGAAAATTGACAGAAAGAGAAAGGCGAATATATTTTTTGGAACTTAAAAAAACCCAATGTTTTTAAGAGTTCAGCACCATTATATACATTTCATTTATTTTTACGTATTACAGTTTAGTGACTGTTACCTCAGTTGTGGCCAGATTACAAACAACCTGCCTATCAGAGCCATGATGCCCTCCTACCCACACAGGCAGGCAGAGTCTCCATCGATTACACATTCTAATGACTTTTACTTCCTCATCTATAAGGTATTTCCTCTTGGCCCTGCCCCGCGAGCGCCTGTAAACTAGAAGGGCAGGTGGGTGGCCTTTTGGAGCTGCTCCTTCTGGAAGCAGAGCTATCACGAACCCCGAGCTCCGAAGGAAGCAGAGAGCACTGGATTCTTCCTCAGGGCAATGGCGTAGACGACTTTAGTGTTTACCCGGCCTAAGAAACAGTGACGTCGACTGTAGTTACAAACATGCCTAGTTACAAACATGCCAAAAGCCTCAAATGGAGGAAATGTGAATTGGTTGTTTTGCCAACACAGTAGGAAAAGAAACGATTTATTTCACGACTTTTGAAGATTTTTAAATTAAGACTCAAAATGAACGGCTCTCGTACCATATTTAACTCCAAAACATTGTTTTTGTCAGTGCAGGGAATGCTTCATGATTCACGGTATTGCTATGAATTTTTGGTAATAGGCCCTTTAAAAAAAGGAGACTGAGAAGTGCCAGTCATTCAGAGGGTAACAGCACCGTGGTCAGAAATGTGAGCCCTGGGCTGGAAGCCTGACTCCACCACGTCCTAAGTGGGGGGTTCTGGACAGATCACCGAACCTGTGAAGTAACCTCATTTACTCAAAAGAAGTAATAATGGCTCCAACCTCGTAAGATGGTTGGAAGGATGACATGACTTGATTCACGTAAAATGTAAAACACTGGCACGTAGTATACACTCAACTAATGTCAGGTATTACTACTGACCTTTCTAAATCCCAAGACATCACAGTTAACAGTAAAAAAAAAAAAATAACCCCCAGATGAAGGTAAGGTTTCACCTCTGCCACTGACTATGTGAAAGAGCCCGGGAACTGAAGCTCACGGGTCTCCCATCTGTCGCGATGTGAGGTGGGGAAGGTCCTTCCATTGCTGACTTCTCCAAGCCCACCTCCAGGGGAGATATTTTGAGGAACAATTCAGTACAGGATAAAAGCATCCTCAGTAGCCTCCTCAGAAAAGTGGGTTTCTATTAGACAAATTCCGTAATTTCATTCTTTGCACAGAAACCTATACCCACAAAGGGCTCAGCACTTTCGGTGAGGCGGGCAGTGGAAATGGGGTGGATGCCATGGGTTTCTGGAAAGTGTGTGGTCCTACAGGCAGAGCAGTGGAGGGAGGGATAAGCAACTGGATGGTCTGCTTCTGATGAAATAGTAAGCCTCAAGGATGTCAAAAATTTGTGGCTTTCCTTCATACATGGACTCACTTTATGATTTTGGCTTCAGCAGCAACCACCCCACGGCCTCTAACTGTCTTTCTTGGCACTGTTTATTGGCAGAGTGGACCATGCCCCGGGTGATCAAACCTGAAATAATGAAAATGAACAGAGTGGGGGGGAAAAGGGTGGGGTCTGCCAGCAATAGTCTCGAGGGACTTGGGAACAAAGTAAACACAGAGCCACCAGCGTGGAGTGGTGAATGTCATCACCACCATAGTTCTCACTCAGGGGCTGGCTTCTTGTTATGATGCCGAAAAGTCTGTGTGGCTCTTCAAACAGTCCAGGTGTTTTCTCCTAGGAGAAAATCCCAATCCTACTAAACCTCTGAGTTTCTCATGGACTAAAACCTAAATACCCGCTAGGGTCTTGGGCACTTGGACGAAACGTTTAGTCATAGCAACATGGAAGCCAGCAGTCCATTGTTCCTGCTTTTGGCCAAAGCTGGTGCCTTCAGGGTGATTTATGTGGAGATCAGAAGTGGAAAAATATATTCACTAGTGCATAGTAAAAATACAAACGGTCAGAGAAGAATCTGCCATTTCCTTTTCCATTCCTCACTTTATCACCCTCTGTGACCCGGCTTCTGCCATGGACAAGGTCACCAGAGTTCCCTGGTGGTAAGTCCAATGGATAATTCTCAGTCCTCATCCTACCTGGCCTTGCAAAAGTATCTGATTCTGGGACAGTTCTCTTTCTCTGGTTTCTAGGATACAACTAGAGGGCAAGTCTCCCGAGACCAGGGGCATTATTCAAGGCAGTATTTCTCACAATGCTTGGAGAAACGCTTGCTCACAAAAGATACTCCGTAAATGTCTGAACAGACCCAAACTTTCCTGGCTCGTCTGCTCATCTCCTGTCTTTTTGGCTGATCCTCTGCAGGACTCTCTCCTTTCACCCTCTCCTTAAATGATGAAGTTCTTCTGGGCTGGTTCTAGACATACTTCTATTCCATACGCTCATCCTGGGTGGCCTCAGCTACTTCCCTGTCTTGGCTGATCACCCTTCCTGTGAGGTCTTCCAAGCCTTTTTTTACTGACCATCTCGGTTCTAGTGCCTCCTTCCACTCTGCTCTCTCTTTCAGTGGGACCAACACGCTCCCACTGTCCAAACCAGACCCATGGGAGTCCTTCTGAACCCCACCCTCCCTCCACACACACTCCCTGGCACTGTTCGCCTCCCACATCAAATCTCCGGCTTCTGTGGCTTCTTCCTAAATCTCCCTATAACTTATCCTCTTCCACCATCCCAGTTCAGGCCACCACTCTATCCGAGTTATTCCAACAGCCTTTCCAAGTGGTGCAGCTTATGTCACCCTCCAGCCAAAGTGCCAGGTGCCCCTCTCTGTCCCCCTACCCCCACCGGGTCAGGTGCTACATGCTCCCTATTAAACTGCTTATCACATGATAACTGTCATTTCCTATTTTAATGTCTGTGTCGCCTGCTAGATATGTCTGTGTGGTTCCTTATTTGAGCCCCTGAAGCTAGGATGGTAGCCATGAAAAAATTCACAAATACTTCCGAATGAGTAAAGAAAAGTAGATTCCCGAAATGTAAAATTCAAATCAAGACAGGATGAGAACATTCTAAAATCGTAATTTAAAATCCTGAGCCCCGTTTTCAACGGTTTGGTCAAAAAACTTCACCAGGTGACGAGGAGGGGGAGTAACTGAGAGTATCGAGGTACCTTTCGTATAAGCAAATGCCGATTTGGGTCAGTTTCAGTCGCCACACAGAAAGCTACTTCCCAAACTCTTAATCAAACTGATTCAAGTTGAATCTGTCTATACTCTTGCATAATAAACCAAACGTAGTTCAAATATTACCTGCTGTCCAGTGACTCAGGAAAATATAAGATATAATCTCCACATCCCTAATTCTTTAAGTCAAAAGCACTCTAATCCTATCTTAGAGCTGGAAAGGGGTCTGAAGCTCATCCGAGCCAATCTTTTCCAGGTGAAACTGAAGCTCAACATGCTCATTTTACAGGTGACCAACCAGGGCTCAGAGAGGCGTGGAAAGGACTGGAGTCCCAGCCGCCAGTTAGGGAAAGAGCGGGGTTAGGACCCTGGCTACTGGGCTGTAGCTGCGTCTGGATCCTAAGTAACCACACAGATGGCTGTGCTTTCAGGACCATGTTGCATATGAACCGTTTCTTTCAACACACTTAAAACTAACAGAACTACTATTGCCCAACAAAGAGTGTGGGGCAGCTAATCTGAGGAAGAGAGCGGAGGCAGGAGACTTCTCAGGTCAGTGACGTGCTTCTCACTGGCGTGGCAGAGGGGAAACGGAAGAATCGCAGTGGAAGGCAGGAGAGAAAGAGTGGACGTAAGGAGGGGGCCGCGGTGGGAATGTCAGGGTACTCACCTTTTCCTTGTCGCTGGCTTCTCTAGCCACGGTAGAGCCCTGAAACACAAAGACCGTCATGAAAACATGCACATGGGAGGCATCGGGCTTCACACGTGTAAGCTATGCAAGTGTGCCCGGCCAGAGCGCAGAAATAAAGGAGCACCCACTTCGCTCTGGAGCCGTGCCCTGAGTGAGCTCTGTCCCCTCCCTGGCCACAACTCTGCCCCGTGGGCACTCCCCGCTCTGCAGACATTCCTGCTGGCTGGTCTCCAACCCTCTCCCTAGCTTGTCACCTGAGCTGGATTCTCCTTGGTTCTTGTCCCCCTGCTGGAGGTCAGAAAACCTGACAATCACTTGAACAGTAACTTTTTTTTTTTTAATTATTTTTTTTTTTTTAAAGAGAGAGAACATGAATGGGGCGGGGGAAGGGCAGAGGGAGATGGAGAGAGAGAGAGAGAATCTTAAGCAGACTCCATGCCCAGCACAGAGCCTGAAGCAGGGGCTTGATCTCACGACCCTGAGATCACCACCTGAGCTGAAATCAAGAATCAGATGCTTAACCGACTGAGCCACCCAGGCGCCCTTTGAATGATAACTTATTAACACCATGCTCTGCTTCTTGCCTCGATTGCCAGAAATGGTTGGTCTTATATCTTCAAAGGTGATGTGGGCCACTCGTGGCTGCAGTAGCCACTGGGGCATTAAATGCCTCCTTCCCCACATTACGTCTTCCAGATGTGGGCCCGTCCTAGCCCTCTGCCTGCCCTTCTCCCGTTTCAGAGTTACTGATGGACATGTTGTCCTCACTACTCTGAGTAAGACCTTGTGGGTCCTTCCTGTCCCCCTTCACTCTGGGAATCCCTTCATACATATTTACTTGCACCCCCTTTGTGCCAGGCCCTTAGGCTGAGCACAAAGGTATCAAGGGGAAGAAAAGACAGTTCTTGATCTCTGCAATTCTACTCTGCTGCACTGGTTGGCAAAGCCACGCCTCAGAGCTCTGGGGTTGTCCGAGAAGACCCAAGCCCACCCGGATGCCAACGGGGGCGTGCGGTAGAGCTCAAGAAGAGAAACTTCCCCTTGTTTGTGGAAGATGCTAATGCAAAAGTTGGCTTGCAGATGGCTAGTGAATTCCTAGCGATGTCAATACAACAAGAACAATTTCTTCTTCGTGCTCCTCAGGGACCGCTGCAGTATCTCACACAGCAATGCCTGGCATTCCCCGAATAAATGGTTGGAGAAGGATCACGACCACGTCACCGCTCTCCCTTCCCCCGTGGCGCGGGCCACCCAGGCAAGCCCAGGTCAGCAGTGATGCGCTTCTCCGACCACCTCTCCTATCAGCGTTTATTGCCCTGGAAGCAGCCTATTGCCCTGGAAGCAGCCGTGCATTAGTGGATTGTGGAGAGTCCCCCTCCCCCACCCTGGATCAAAGCTCCATCCCCCTGGTGGTCAGCATTCCCAGGTCGGCGGACGTCAGAGAAGCTGCTATTAGCCCAGGGGAAATGCTCCGGGTTTCTGGGGGAGCATCGGAGGAGCACAAAGCTGACCCATGAAACAATGAGGGACAATGTGAATTGTTCGTGAAGGAAAACATGTTGTCCCCCTGCACAAACCCAGCAGCTGCCACTTGTAATGGTCCATTTTCCTGGTTGGTTTTTTTTTTTTTAGGGATTCTTGAATACAGACCACAAAGAGCTTCCTTTACACACTGATTTCTAACAAAGAATGTTCCCAAATTAAAAAAAAAAAAAAAAAAAGACGGGATATTTGCAATATTTGAGCACTGTCTATGCTCCTGGTCAGAGGAGGAAACTTATTCCTCTTTATATCTTTAGCCAAGTTTCTGGTCTCTGTGTGTGTGTGTGTGTTTTCCCTCCCGCAGTAAAATTTACCCTGCTTCTGATTCTTGGTGAAGCTTCATCTCTATGTAAATGCAGATCATTAGCCTGGGGGAGGGGGGGAACTCACCCAAATTTAAATGAATTCAAAATAAAAACTCGAACAGAAGTAGAAAATAAGGTTAGTAAGTCAAGGCCAAGAGTTTGAGCCATGAAATGACGCCAGATGTCCAGGTTCCATCACAACCGAAAGTACTGGCAAGAAGAGAATTTATTCTACAAGCTAAAAAAGGGAGCTGAAATTAAGGAAGTCTGAGGCAAATTAAAACTATAATATCCAGTCTAGAAGTATAATTTACATCAAGATATGTTTACTAGATGCTTCCTTGAACGAGGCACTATCTTAGGGGAATAGAAAAATAAAAAGGACCAAAAATTTGCCTTTAAGGCACTTACTAGTAGGATGGATGAGTCACGACCACAATTCACTGGCCAATTCCTATATGCTACACATTATGCCGGACGTGACAGGTGTGTGTGTGTGTGTGTGCGTGCACGCGCGCATGTGTAATCGAATCCTCATAACAACCCAGCAAAGGTAGGTATAGTTATCACTGTTTTACAGATGAAGAAACGGAGGTTCAATAAAAGTTCAGCAACCCACCCACAGCTAACAAATGATAAACCAGGACAGGAGGCTTCAGAGGTCACTCTGGCTTATTCTATAGGGGAGTCAGACCCGTGAACAAAGTCCCGTAATGCTCCACAGCGTCCATCCTCTAGGCAGCACTGCAAAGGTTGCTGAGTGAGAGAGATGATCCAAGAGCCCTGGAGAGTGGCTGGGATTTCCACCAGGGTGATTCCAGGCGACAAAATTGCCTCAACTTGGAGGCAGAACAGAGCAAGGCTGTATTTGGGAAGCTTATACAGTTTATCTGAACTCCAGAGGGGAGAAGATAAGCCTAAACCATCTTCCCTCCCTTAGACTAGCATTTCTCAAAGTGTGCTCAGCATCCTGGGGTCCCAAAACCCTTGCAGGGCTCTGCAAAGTCAAAACCATCTTTCTAATAATATTGAGACATGATCGGCCTTTTTCACTGTCTTGATATTTGCATGGATGTTACAAAAACAATCGTGGGCAAAACTGTTGGCAGCTTAGCACAAATCCAGTGGCACCGAATGCTACTAATAGAGTTTGTCATAAAATATATACAAAATATACATTATATATATGTCTAAAAATGTCCTTGATGAAGCAATGAAATTAGTAAATCTTGACCACGGAGTACACATTTCTTCCATATTCTTTGTGGGAATATGTATAAAACACTTCTGTTTGTGAAGAAGGAATGTTTTAAGAACAGTCATTTTTGTGATGATTTGAGTTATGAGCTCAACTAGCCACTTTTTTCATTTAAAACATTTTTACCTGAAAGAACAACTGGCAATCTCTTTACTCAGATCTGGGCGTTTGGTAGTTATTTGCTCAAACAATAAGGCTGTGGGGCTCAGCTGCGTGCTGGGGAGCTGTCTGCTGGCGTTTCACCAAAAACAATGCACAAGGCTTGTTGCCAATGGTAAAATTTGAGCTTTCAAGTGGAAATCAGAGTTTTAAAAAACTTGTATCCACCACCGTGAGCATGACAGCTTCTCAATACTTAAAGACTTCTCTTATGAGACTTGTGATATTAATGTGACTTCTCGATATTGCATAATGAGTCAATATTTGGAAGACCCCATAACTCAGTGACTGCATCTGTTTCAAATGATCAAAGCATGCAAACAGACCAATGGGTTTTAATGAAATAAATACAGAAAGTTCACTGATGTGATTTCTGATCCCACATCGTAACTAAGCTTTGAGAAATTACCTTTTGTCAGGTTTTGGTAGAATATCAAAGAACAGTATCCACAAACTTCTGAAAAAGTTATTAAAACACCCACCCTCCCATTTTCCAACTATGTATCTGTGTTAAGGTCTGACTTTCTTCATACACGTCAATCAAGTAACATTGCAACAGACAGCACAACCAGATAGGACATTCCAACTATCTCATATTAAGTCAGATATTAGGGAGATTTGCAAAAATGTAAAGGAAAAAAAAAAAAGGTCACCCATCTCAATTTTTTGATTTGCAAGATACAGCTATTTTTCATAAAAATATGCTAACATGTAATGGTTTTTTAAATTATAAAGTAAGCATTTAAAATTTTTTATTTTAATTTCTAACGTTGTAAATAGCAGTATATACAACCCAAAAGCTTTTGACAGTCCTCTTTTTAAAAAATTTTAATTTCATTATAATCAGCATACAATGTCATATTAGTTTCAGGTGTACAATATAATGATTCAACAATTCTATACATTACTTAGTGCTCATCATAAGTGTACTCCTAATCCCCATCACCTATTTCAGCCATCCCCCTCCCTCCTCTCCTCTGATAACCGTCAGTTTGTCTCTATACTTAAGAGTCTGGGGTTTTTTTGGTCTCTTTTTAAATTTGTTCATTTGTTTTTTAAATTCCACATGAGTGAAATGATACGGTATTTGTCTTTCTCTGACTGACTTACTTCACCTAGCTACCCTCTAAATCCATCCATGGCAAGATTCCGTTCCTTTTAATGGCTGCGTAATATTCCATTGTATATGTATACCACATCTTCTTTACCCATTCATCTATCAAAGGACACTTGGGTTGCTTCCATAATTTGGCTATTGTAAATAACGCTGCAATAAACATAGGGGTGCATATGTCTTTTCAAATTAGTGTCTTTGTATTCTTTGGGTAAATACCCAGTAGTGGGATTACTAAATCATATGGCAATTCTATTTTTAATTTTTTGAGGAACTTCCATACTGCTTTCCACAGTGGCTGTACCGGGGGTCCTCTTTTAAGAGTGAAGGAGTCTGAGATCAAAAAATTTGAGATCTACTGGCAAAGACCAAAGGGTGGCAATCTTTTTCTGAATGGGTCAGCTGGTAGATGTTTTAGGTTTTGTGGTTCCGAACAGTCTCTGTGGTACTATTCAACTCTGCCATTATAGTACAAAAGCAACCACACGTGATGCAGAAACACTGGCCACGGCAGTGTTCCAATAAAACTTTATTTACAAAAATGGCCAAGCTGGATTTGCCATGCAGGCAGGTCACAAATTGCCAGCTCCCAACTTGGACATCCTCCCCCAAAGTCAGTGATCCAAAGAGTCAGCTCACCTCACTCCCCTCAGAATTCCCGTGGTGTGCCTCTCACCCAGGGTCTTTGTAATAGCCGGTCTCGGGGCCTGTGTCTTCTGCCAGGAAGGCCCTTCCCTCAGCTCATGCCCTCTTCCTTTGGGTCTGCTGCAATGTCATCTTTCCAGTGAAAGCTTCCCCGACACCCTGTCTAAGGGTTGTCCCCCATTCTTCCCCATCTTCACTTCTATCCATAGCACTTACCACTTCTTACTATGCTATAGGATTTACTCACTACTTTTACTTATTGTCTGTCTGCACCCACCACAATGTCAGTTCCTTGAGCGCAGGTCTGGTCCATTTTGTTCATCGCACTATTCCCAGCACCAAAACACTGCCTGGTACGTAGCTGGTGTTCAAAAAATAACTCCTTGAAAATCAGACATGATACCTCCTAACATGTGCACTGCTAGTTTAGTTGCCTGGTGGCTTTAAGCTCTGAGCACCTCCTAAGTGTTTAGCATGATCAATTACAATATTTGTTTAATTACTTAATAAACATGAACAAAAATCTCACCTTTAAGTCGTATTTCCTATATACAGATAAACGGTGGCTGAACACATTTCTTGTAACAATCACGTAGATTTCAACTCCATCAACATTAAGCCGGTACATGCCCAAGAACTGGGGAAGAAGGGTGATCCCATGACATTCTACTATATACTGCACAGGAGAGAGGAAAAGGAACACATTATGTAATCAAAACGTGCTCATTCAGATGTAAAATATAACTCTTCTGCCTTTGTGTTTAGACAACGTGAAACCCTCCAACTACTAAGGTCCTATTTACAGAAAATGACCGTGTTTATACTGCCTGACCAGGATCTGAGATCACCACGTATACATAGATAAGAAAACTCAACTTATTCTCCAAAGAGATATTTTTCCCTAACATCCCAAACTAATTTGTAAAGTCAAAAGTTGGATATAACAGTGTTAGACAAGACGGCAAGTGATTGGTCCATTTTCTAATTCCTCTAAAGGGAAATCACACCCTACCGAGGGCCTCCCCCTTCCTTCCCAGAAGCCTGGGTGATGACTCTGTGAGGTTGAGGGAGAGTCACTTGGCCACTAAGATCAGCTCTTTTAACAGTGTTATGAAAGTATAGCATTGAAGCTGTGATTAAAGAGGAAACTGTGGAGAGAGCTGAGTGTTAGAAGCTGGGACAGTCATCTCTAGTCCTAGCTTTTGTTTCTCACCCATCACACTAATGCGCCGAGCTACTGCCTACCAGAGCAGCAGCGTGAAGGGAAGGTGCCACGCTACCCCAGAGTACTTGCTCCTGCTCTCCGGACAGACAGAGGTGCTCTCCGGACAGACAGAGGTACTCTGGCCCCCATGTTGGATTTCATCAAGGCCACTGGACACGTTCCAGCTTTGACACCATTTTTTTAAAAAAGATTTTATTTATTTATTTGAGAGAGAGAGAATGAGATAGAGAGAGCATGAGAGGGGGGAGGGTCAGAGGGAGAAGCAGACCCCCCGCTGAGCAGGGAGCCCGATGCGGGACTCGATCCCGGGACTCCTGCCGAAGGCAGTCGCTTAACCAACTGAGCCACCCAGGCGCCCTTTGACACCATTTCTGATTACAGTTGCAAAAACACAACATGAGTCTCGAGGTATTGATGACCATCCTCTAAAGGGTCACAAGGGGGAGACACATCTCCTTTGAAAGCTGATCTTTATAAAATGGGTCCCACTGCACTCTCCAAAGGAAAGTTGGGTTTTCCTTTCTTTAAAATGAAAGGGGAGAGAATATTTCAAAAGAGCTCTTTTTTGTCCTTGACAGGTGTGTGAAACCTCTGGATAATGAATAGCATGAGCAGCATGATTCCAAAATTGTAAAAATTGTTAAAATCATATACGTTGTGCATATTAGGGAGAGGCCTGGAAGAACGGTTACCAAGTGGTAATGGCAGAATTTGGGGTAACTTTGCTTTCTCCCCCCTTTTTTGTAAAATTATGCTGCTTGAATTTTTCCATTTTACAATGAGCATTTTATAAAAATAAAAATAAAATGCCCTTTCAAACTTTTTAGTGGCAAGCACTGTCAATAATCAATTCTGATAATATTTAACCATCTTAAAGGTCAAAAAAAGCTTTTAGTTTTTGTCATTAAAGATGAAAAGCATCAGTACATGAGTTTGATATTTGTCACCCAGAGTGTTGGCAGGTTTTAAAGATGCTCTTGCTCTTTTCTATCATACTGACCATAACTGAGCTACACATTTTAAACTGATATATTTCCTGAGTAGAGTTTCACCTCAATTTGTTCTTCCTTTGAAGTCAGATCAGTGGAACATTTTCTATTTCTCTCCTTTCAAAACAACAGTAAATGAACATGAGGTTTGCAAATACAAAATGGGCAGTGAAGAGGCGTTGGTTGAAAACAAAACTTCTCACATCTGATCTAAAGAAATAAAAACGGCTGTTGTCCCTCACCTCTGAAGAAAGATGCTTGGGTGAGCCTTAAAAACATGGAGACTACAGGGGTCTACACTGTGTGAGCACGGTAGAAGGAATGTAGGTTTGTGAGTTGGAAAGAATGCATATGCATCCTGGTGCCTCCATTTACCAGCTGTGGGATCTTGGGCAAGTTACTAGATCACTCTTCATTTTAGTTTCATTTTCTGAAAAATGAGCACCATAATTCCTACCAGCAAGGAAAGTTGTTGTGAGGATTAGTAAGTCAAAATACTTCACGCCATGCCTGTGTGTTGTACTACATTCTTCCTCCCTCTGCAGAGGACAGTGGTAATAGTTAACAATTATTTTCATTCAAAACTCTCATAAGAAACTTCAATGGTACGTGGCATCTGCTTGGTCCTCCGAACTCAGGAACACGGACTGGCGTCCACTCTGAGGCAGGCTCTGTGTAGGTATTTTGGAGGCTCACAGGGCATGCATATTTGTCCCCTGCCCCGGGGGTGGGGGGTACACCGCTGTTCAACCCCTCTTTGTGCTCAGATTAGTCTCATCTTGGCCTATCTTTTACAAGTCCTGGCAACAGAGTAAGTCTTTTTGATCAAAATCTCTGTACCAAGCCACAGAACGCCTTGGAACAGAGTAGATACTATTATTCAGGTAATGAAAATGATAAAGAAACTTTCTGCACACTGTACAGGAAATCATCGACAAGGTTTTTTCTCTCCCCACAGAAAAACACCCACGTGGATTACATTCTACAACTCCTCTATCTTTAAGACTAAATAAATTACTGCATATAAAAATGAGATCAATTTAATCTGCATCTCCAAGCTTCTACATGCGCTGCTTCTCAAAGGCCTGGCTCGCTGATGAGGCTCTTAGACGAACACCTTGAAAAATACAGATTTAATAGACTTCAGCTCCTGCGTTTATAAATATGGACCAGACCGCAACCTATATTCAAGCCTATCCTATTAAGATTCCAGGACTGGGGGCGCCTGGGTGGCTCAGTTGGTTGAGCGACTACCTTCGGCTCAGGTCATGATCCTGGAGTCCCGGGATCGAGTCCCGCATCGGGCTCCCTGCTCGGCGGGGAGTCTGCTTCTCCCTCTGACCCTGCCCCCTCTCATGTGCTTGCTCTCTCTCATTCTCTCTCTCTCAAATAAATAAATAAAATCTTTAAAAAAAAAAAAAAAAAAAGATTCCAGGACTGGTGAGCAACACAGCTGGTGCTAAGGGTTTAGAAAAAGCATTGGTGGGGAAAATCCCACCCAGTGACGGAATTTCTGGGCAGGGCTCCGGGAAAAGATGAGACGGTTCCATTACAGGAGAGGGACATTCCAGTGGCTCTGGCAATGCCAAGCTGGGGCACCGCTGTTCTAGCGTGGCGTGTAACCGCCTGGGGAGCTGGCACAGAGGCCTGGATGTTCATCCTCTTGCGTTCTTCACCAGCTGACCCCGGAAATGCTGCCCACAAACTCTGACCCCAGTGGCCACATCTGCAAACCACACACGAACTACCAGGGTAATCTCACATCCAGGGCGACTGTAAATTCATGGCCAGAGCTTTAACTGGGCCCTTTGCACAACTCAGCCACATCACGCAGCTAGGAGCCCTATTGGTCCAGCTCCACATTCACGAGCTGTGTATCCCTCGGCCAATTACTCAACTTCTCTGTGCCTCTGCATTTGAAGAAGAGGGGTAATGATAGTAATGAGGGCATAGGGTTTCTGTGAAGAATGTGAAGACCTGGGAAAAAAAGGACTGTGGGGGGCTGACCGCCCATGACCTGAGCTGGAACAAGATGAAACCAAGACCCTGGGTGAGGGGTGGAAAAGGAAGCGGGGAGGAAGGGAGGGAGACTTCCTAGAGCACCTGAGGTATCCCTAAAATGCTGAGAAATGAATTTTATTTTAAATGCATGATGGAAACTCTCAATTTCAATGAACCTCCACAAAGACCTTCCAAAAATGAATAGTTTTGTGAATGTATGTATCTGCTGATAAAGTGAGGTAATGTTCTTGTAAATATGAAAGAAACACTAAAAAAATTGTATTTCTCTCATGTTATTTTAGGATCAGAACTCTGAGCACTTTCAAGAATTTAAACATCATCGACAAATTTACAAAACATCTTGTACATAAATGCTTCCAAAATAAGAAGAAAGGGGTGTATTGCGGGCACTACAATATCATGTCATTCTTTTTTTTTTTTTTAAAGATTTTTATTTATTTATTTGAGAGAGAGAATGAGATAGAGAGAGAGAGCATGAGAAGGGGGAGGGTCAGAGGGAGAAGCAGACTCCCTGGAGAGCAGGGAGCCCGATGCGGGACTCGATCCCAGGACTCCAGGATCATGACCTGAGCCGAAGGCAGTCGCTTAACCGACTGAGCCACCCAGGCGCCCCGTATCATGCCATTCTTCAATAACCAATCATTTGGCAGGAGCACCCTCTTTTTTTTGAATATTGAAAAACATCCTCAGCATCTCTTAATTTCTTTCTTAACATTGTTGATTTGATCACAAGATAATCTAAGGAATCTTTGCTTCCTCCCTTCTACATGCTTAATTTCCAGACTACAAGAATGAAGAAATAACAATTTAATCCTGAGGATGACTCCTTAAGAAAGGTCTGAGTATTTCTTTCACTTTCAACCACTGTCTTGATGTGGCTACAAGGCAGGCCTTCCCTACTGGCAAAGGACAGAGACACATGGGTGTTCCCCACCCGCTATATTAATATCTCAGTCTCCAGACTCAGCAGGTGCAGTGCCTACAGTAGCCTGGTGGACTCCCTTCCAGAAGTCAGATGAGTTTGCAACTTCTGTCCTCTGCCACTCTGAGGTCCCAACGGAGATAAGGCCACAATTGGACCAAACACTTGGCAATGCTGAACATCCATGTGTGGCTCAGAAATTAAGAGCACACATCAGGCAAGAGAGAGGATTCTTTTATGAGAGCATGGGCTGCATATGTACAATCCTGGAGAGTGTGCCTTTCAGTGGCTTCTCGAATGTGGCATTTTCCCGACACATTCCTACCTGTGGCATAACGCCGGCTCTCTATGTCACCTGCAGCCAAGCTCTTCTCTCACACCAAAGAGAAGCTTGGTCTGGCACCTGGACTGGTGGCTTGCAAATGCTTGCAAATCCACGATGACACTGAGTTTTCATCTGAATAGGTACTGAATATTTACTCCCCAATTTTAAAAGAGTGAACTTGATTATCATCAAT